CGTGAGCCCTGACCGGCTGTTGTTCCACGCAGTGGCCGGAGGCTGCTGGGCTGCAGCATCGCACACGTCCGTCTCCATTAAATACAGAGCAAGGACAGGCTGCCGTGTCTTGTGTTGGGGTCACGTGGCTCCCGCCGCCCTCCGAGGCTTGCGAGGTTGTTCGGGGCCAGCCTGCACAGGCGGCTCGGTGGTCCCTGGTGCCTCTGGGCGCTCGTGGCTGCCGGCAGCACAGGGGGTGCGGCTGTGCCGGCGAGCTGAGGGCGGCTCGGACTCCTCTCATCCCCAGCCCAGCTCTGCCTTCCTCTTCAAAGCGGCACGGCCACATCCCAGTCGCCTCTTGGGAACGGTTCCTGGCGTGAGCTTGACTTGTGCTGCGCCCAGGCATTGTCCGGCTGACGGCACGGTCAGAGCTGTGCCGGGGACTCCAGCAACAGCTTAGCCGTGGGTGACTGAGCTCCAGTGCCCAGGAAACGTCCCTGGCCCCACTCAGCTGACTGCAGGGGCAGCTCCGCACGCTCAGGGAGCATTCCCCCCACCCCCCCTCCAAGGGCTCCTCGTCCGTGTGCGGGGTCAGTCCCCTGGCTGCCAGCTGAGGAAAGCCGGGCCCAGCCTGGTACCTGCAGCAGGGCTTCTCCCGGGGCTGCTGTGCAGAGGGAGAAGCGAAGGGGACATGCCAGCCCAGCCCTCTGCGCCATCGCCCTCGGTTTTACCACAAACTACAGCGTTGCCCAACAGAGAGGGACAACAGGGGAAACTGCACAGACCCGTTCGGTGCCGCAGTCCTGTAGAAAACAAAGCGAAGCAACAGCCGGAGAGCGGCTGGTAGCTGAGCCGTGGCGGAGCTGCTGCCAGCACCGTCTCCCCAGGCTTCCTACGCCCGCTGCGTGCGGGCTCAACGGGACGGGCAGGGAGACCGGGTTTCCCAAGGGAACACGCCTTTGTGATGCACAAAGAACGGGTAACGAGGTCCTCTGGGGCAGGGCAGGTGGCTGCCCGCTGAACGCTTCGTTTCTGCGTTAGTCCCATGAGCGTTTATTTGCGGTGGCCACTGGTGCGGTGAGAGGAGAGGTGGGGTGTTCTGCCTCTCCCTCTTGGCTCAGGGGGGCTGAGCACCAGGCCCTCAGCCGGGAGCGAGAGGCAGGGTCCGGCTTTGCATGCAGGCTGTGCTGAGAGCGGCTTTGGCCGCTGGCTGCTGGGAGCTCGCTGCCGGGCCTCGCCTGCGTGTCCGTGCGTCCCTGTGCTATCCCTGCTGCCTCGGCTGCTCGGCCGCCTGCGGGTGGTGGGAGCGGTTAGAGGGGAGGAAGAAGAGGGAAGCTCCCCAGCCCCTTCCTCTGGGTTCCTACTCACCCTGCATCCTGCCCGTCAGCCTCTCCACCGCGCTGGCTGCTGAGCTGAGACCGCAGCTGGGTCTGCGGGACGAGCTGGGGAACAGAAGAGGGGGTGAGACTTCCCCCTACGCTCAGCTCCAGTCACGCCCTTCGGCCTCTGCCCTGGGAGGAAGAAGAGGGAAGCTCCCCAGCCCCTTCCTCTGGGTTCCTACTCACCCTGCATCCTGCCCGTCAGCCCGCGCTGCGCGCTGGCTGCTGAGCTGAGACCGCAGCTGGGTCTGCGGTGGGGAACAGAAGAGGGGGTGAGACTTCCCCCTACGCTCAGCCCCAGTCAC